TATTATTTTTATTTTTTTTGAGAAAAAGCAAAATGAAGAATCAAAATAGGTATCATTATTAGAGCGTATAGAAAATTTGACTATCGAAATTTAAAAGAGCTGTATAATAAAGAGTCAAGATGCTCTTAGGTAATCATTATTTTAAAGCTCCTTTTTCTTTATTTTTGTCCATATTCATTTTCAATCATTTATTCTCAAAATAAAACATAAACCAAATTTTTTTTCATACTGTTTAACCAATCACACATTCTCCAAAAAATTATTTTTCAAAAACTCATTCTTAACCCACCAAAAAAAAAAATAAAAAATAAAAAATAAAAAATAAAAATCGATTTCCATCTGACTGGGCTTAATATTAATTACTGGATTGAAGAGCCCTAACGACCTGGGCTCCAGTGAAATCAAATCTAAACCTAACTACCTTCTTCTCCTCAAATGTTTACGTGAAATCACCGAATTCTTCTGCCACCGTTTTAAGTATTCTGCTTCATCTCAAAAGCAGAAGAGGGGAGGAGATAAAGTTTGTACGGAAGCAGATATCGCATTTAGTCTTCCCCCAATCTTTTCATTTGTCTCACTATCCCTGTGATCATCCTGCTCAGTTTTGCAACGGTACAGGTACGGCATCCGACACTCCAGCAAAATTATGGTTGATATTTCTTGCTAAAATTAATTGCTTTCTGAAAACTACCATTCTCCGATTTAGTTGACAGTAGTCAGTACTATAACCCCTGCGAATTTTTCCCGTGACAATTTAATTTGATTTTGGAAAATAAACCTAACAGGATATGATGAAATTAATTCATCAAGGCCTTTTTTTAATTGATTGATAATATATGGGTTTACATATCAAATGTTGGGCTTATATAATTGATTCGAAATATGGAATTTGGAACCTAACGTCTGGGAATCAAACAATCCAGTTGTCAAAAAAAAAAAAAAAAAAAAAAAAAAAAAAAAAAAAAAAACAAACTTTTAAAAGAGAGAATCCAATCCTTTATCATGCATCTCCAAGACAGTACTCCCAATGGAGATATTGGGTTTGGATAAAATGCAAACGAGCGGTGTGCTAGACACTTGTTAGGTAAGAGTGTGCCTTCAGACATAATGCAAGACATATACGCCATAGCTGACATATGGAATGTGATCATTACAAAGTAATAGTCCATTGAGATGTGATTCATTCGGGAGAAAAAAGCACATAGTCATGCCACAATGTTGTTATTGGTAGGCTTGAGCCGTAAAATTTGATTTGCGTTTTAGTATTGCATTGCTAATTAGCATATGCCCACTTTATAGGAACCATGTAACTTATGTAAGTGATATTATATGTAACAGACTTCATAAATTTTGTAAGGCTTTATGTGCAACAAAACTTGAACAATATCAATTCTCAGTCCAACGAAAATTGTGACTGAAATTTTGAGTACAATTTTGTTGACGCAATTGGAATGCTGCGAAGTCAAAGATATAAGGATTTATTAGAACCTTTTTCTCTTGTAGGTGAAGACAATTCATTACTGGTTGTTTAAGAGTTGGATATGAAATGAAGTTTTGTGGTTTCATAATTGAACCTGGAAGTATAATAAATCGAGGCATATTTAGCTATGAGAAAACAGTTCTTAAAGTAAAACGGAGGGAAAAAAGGAAAATAGAGGAGCAATGAAATTTTAACTCGCCATAATTTGGGATGAGTATAGAGGAAAGGAATGAAAGGTGCGAATCTGTCGAATAAGTTTATATATTTTTTTTCTACTTTGTTATGTCCTATTAAATATGAAATTGTACCATCCTCCTCATTTGATATGTATCCATTTCATAATTCCAACACGACTCCTATTTGTAGAGAGAGCTCCCAGAGTGATTTATTGTCTTCAATTGGCCTCATTAATCTCAGAACTCATGAATTGCTATATGTCTTTACGTACATCGGGAGACCTCTCCTTGGGATGCTATATATCACATACTATATATCCGTTCCAAATTACTTTAGTGGAACCAAAATATGACACGATAATGACCTATGCTACAGAGTTAGATGCCGACAATGAGGATTCCAATTTGATATTATTTTACATGCCTAACATTCAACCCTGATGGTTTTGATATCTAGCTACCAACATTCATCATATCATGTTTGTGTCCACCAGGGGTAATTTGGAATTGGTCGTATCATACTGGTCTCTTAAGGTGATTGAGAAGGTTGTGTTAACGAATCTCTATTGCTTTATCATGTAGTAGAACAAATCTTTAGGACAAACATAACATGTAACATATCAATAACAAGACAACTAGTTTCATTTAGTAGAATTTGCATGAGATATCGGCTCAAATCATGCTCCATGAGTACTTTTTGTATGGTAAAAATATTTGTAAGCTGATTACACATTTAACTCAAATGATTTTAAGCTAAATTGCTGTAGTTGCTTTATGTTTAAGCAACTTTGAATAATGTTATTCATAGTTACTTACTATGAGAGTCGCTTTCTGTCATACACATGGTAGGTGGTCATTTGAAGCACGTACCTGCCATGTATATGCACAGCAACTTTTATGTTTCATATAGTCATATCTTTGAGGTTACCATTTAAAATAAATTTTTTAGGGAAAACGAAAAATTTCCAATTATATTACTAGGCATCAATGGCAACTGCCATTTTTTGGCAGGCAATTTATTGTTCCAACAACTCAATTTTTTGATTGCATTAAGTCTTGGTTGGCAGCGTGGCCTCAAAAAATTTAAGAAAATATATTCTACATAGTACAAGTTGCTGTATCCCGAAATCCTTGTGATTTATCAATACGGTTTGGTTTAGGTCAGCCAATTTGAGCCAGATTAACTCAATAAAGATGTATGATATTGGAATAGAATAAATTTAAAGAAATTGAAGTTTAATGTAAGGCATTGACACCATTTTTTCTGCTTCTCAGTAGCCTAACAACATGAACTGCTTTGTATTTCATGGCGAACCTGCAGTGTAAGTACAACCTTCCCCAGAAGGTAATTCTATTTTTGCTGACTTCCTCTTTTTCTGCATTCGGTTTCGCTTCAGCCTTCCACAATAAAAACAATATGTGCACTGGTTTAAAATGTCAAGACAGTTAAGACTCGGAAGGAAATTTTTTTAGTCCAATAAATATCACATGAAGAAAATGAGCAAAATATTACTGGAAAAATATTACACTTCTAAAGGAAACGACTGGATAGAGACAAATAGAGGTTCCACAGTCTGCTAACTAATCCTCTTCCAAAAGACACAATAACTACTAAAAGAAAGAAACCCTAAACTTGATGCAAAACTAAGGTCTTTGTTTACTTGATCATTGTTGGACAAAGTCAATACCCGAACCTATATTAACCTTGCTGAGTGGTGAAACTCAAGATCCTTCATCCAAGAACAATAAACGGCAAGGATTAATTAAGGTGCGTTCTTGACTTCTTTCCTTTTCTCTCACATCCTACAGTAAACAAGGCCTCCTTGCCAATTCGTTCTTCATTTCAAGTCTAAACTGCAACACAAGACACACTAAAGATGTCAGAATATAGAAACTGTTCCCAGTTACATTAAATGACAGTGTCTATATAGGTAAACAAATGTCAAGGCAATTCGTTTGTGGTTTGATCAGATACTTACCAGCAGGTTGTAACACTAATCAGAAGTAGATTTTTACAATGTAAAATTTCTGTCTGTCTACTTTTTTTGATATCAAAAGTCGGTATATAGAGGAGTGCAGCATAGACTTCTAAAATTTACCACACTGTTTCCTAAATACAAATTTTCTACTTTCAGGAAAGGAAAACCCTAATGGGAGAGCTTTTAGAACAGGGTATAAGGGAGAATACATTAGTTGTCTAGGCGGACAATCAGTTCAAAAGAAAAACTCACCGGGAAGCAGACCTTTAGGTCAAGGACCTTCGCACAGCACAGCACCCTTTATCCTTTCGACAGTGCACTTGATAAGGCTATTAACAGTAGCCACTGAACCCAGTGAAAGTTTTGCTGTTGGAAC